CTTTGTAGGATACTTCTGTATCCCCACTCGTGAATCTAAACGGTGAAGTAATTGGTGTCATATTCGGCGGAATCCCAGATGGTCAACGGATTGCATTTGCATTGCGCGAAAAATTCAGTTTGAAAGGTTATTGTTTTGTCTGATATTTTACATTCACGTGTAGATATTTTTATGTTCCCTCTAATAAAACCCTCGTGTTACAATTAGTTCTTCCACTTGTATCTTGAAGTTGATTACTATTTCTAAGAAATTGAAGTCGTTGATTATTCTTTGGTTCTTGATCATTTTTGCTTCTAATTAATGGAATCCAAGATTATGGGCTTTGAGCACATCCATGAACAATACAAAGATTATCCTGAGTTCAGCGAAAGTTTCCAACAATGCAACAAAGGCCCTCACGGGATGAAAGTATTTATAGCTCGTTATCTTGTGCTGTATCAAACTCAGATACACAATCACAAGCAGTCGTTATCTCAAATTTTAGTGCCTAATGCAAATTTCCCCAACAGCAACGCCAAAAACTTGATAGAGAGTAAAACTACTAACTAAGTTTTGACCCTAAACGACTACAAGTGCATGGACCACTTATGAGGAAAAGAATGAGGAGCAATGTGATATATTCTTCTTTGTTCCTCAAGATTTTTTACCATTTAGGAGCAACGTTAAGTCAAAGACAATCCCACATAATTCCTCAACGTTACTCTCCTACTAGGGACCATTGGAAAAAATTGAAGAAGAACAAAAACTCATACGCTTTCTGTTTATTAAACATTTTTAAAACAGTTATACTGATAAGATTACATTTTGTATAATTTTTATTTAGAAAAACAAAATATCGTGTTTAATTGATAGTACTATGATTCTAATGTAAATTATATTGATAATTATACAAATTTAAGAAATGTTGTCAAGTAGAACTCATATAATTTTTTTTTTTTTAATTCTAGATTTTGAAAATTTAAAAATATGCATTTGTTTAAGTTATTATAAACATTGTTGTTAACATTTCTTTGCTAATAACATAGTTTTTTTTTTAAGTTTAGTTCTACCATTTTATTATTTTATATATGTAAACATGTCAAATATAATGTATAATAATTTAATACATTGTAAAAAGTGAGATTCCTCTCATAAAAGGTTGGACACCATATTTGATAGGCTTTAAAAAAAAAAAAATTCTTCACATTGTATCTTTAATAAAAACTGAATTCAACATCTACATATTAAAGCTTAATATGAGCAAGCAACTTTTCGTAAACAAAAAAAAAATTAATATATTTTTCTTACAACATTAGCAAAGTATTATACCTTTTTTTTTTAAACGTTTATTGTTTTATGTTTTCCTTACTTTTAACGTTCTTACACTTTTTCATACTCTATAATACAAAGCAATTTTTTATTTTGATGATATAATTAGGAAG